ACTTGCTTCCCCTCCATATCCCATATCAGCAGCCTGACTTACAGTTACAATTTCCCGGCACCTAATCCCCTCTCCACACTTATGCCCAAATTCCATACACTTCTCACAACGATGAGGAGCATGTAGATACTGAACAAACAAGGTAATAGCAACTTCCCCTTCAGGACGAACCCTAAGCTCAGCCGGAAAAGAGGAGCTAGCAGACATCTCGATACAAAGCTTAGCAGTACCCATATGAGCCCCTAGCTTCGTCGACTGATCCATCCAAAGCGGCGCACCAATCATACTCGCTACCCTGCTCAACCCTTCTTCTGTCATGTATTCCAGCGGCAACTCTCTAATCCGCACCCAAATTGACAACCGAGAACACCCCAATTGAAGCGACTGAATACCTGGAACCCACTTTCGCAGGAACAACAGAACATTCTCACAATGCCATGGCCCATTTTCAAACACCCAAGTACTCGTCTCCACACACTCAAACTGGAAAAGAAACATATTCACCCCAAACACTGATACAAACACTCGCCCATCCCTTCCCCAGTAACGTTGAGCCCAGCGGCGGATTGTTGCAATCGGAGGAGCCGCAGAAAGAAACTGCCCGACCAACGCATTGCGCCACTTGACTGCTCCCTCATCGCGAACCGATCGAGGGATTATTAGCTCCCCATCAACCAACTCTGGCTCCACAAACCGAAGCCGATTCCCGTCCCCGACTCCAAAGAGCTGAGCCCAGTTTGCTGGCTCCGGCGCGGCCACAGCCATTTAGATAAAAGAGATAAAAGAGCCTTTAAGTTTTTTAGTTACTTTCAAGTGACGTGAAGCTATGCTTAGTTGGGACCCCACTAGGAACTGTCATTGGTTGGGATCCAAGTTTGGGATTAAGGGGATATGGTCGGGGATGGTGGCTACTTATGTATTTGAGCTTTCTGTGGATACATTTGGTTTAAAGTGCAAAGCTTTCGGTGGATAAAATTGCTTTAATGAAATTAAAATGGTCAGCGCTTTGGTTATGAGTATTTGATTTTTATCAACTCAATCCTTAGGAGTAATTGGGTTACCTTCAATGTAAACCTGCTCATTTTTCAAAGTCAGGAACTTCCGCTGCTATGCCTCTAGGAGTGTCAAAAGACACTGCAGCTGTAATTACTTGACAATTCACAGTTCTTTGATTGCAGGCTCTTACTAGCTTGTAGTGGTTGAAATTTGTTGTCAGCGGCTGCAGCCGAAAAAAACGAACTCTGTGTCTGGTCATGGCTCCTCTAGCTGAGGAAAGAAGGATGCTTGGAGTTTTGGGTTTGCTGCTACTGCTACTGGGAATGCTACAATTGGTAGTGGAGACTCACCAAAATCGCTCTATTGCTCACTTGCAAACTTTCCTTAGCCACCCTTTGTTCCTCAAAATTATGCTTATCTCTTGCAGGTTACAGAAAAATCTGCTATATTTGCATGCTTGGATCATGTTCCTTTGAAGCAGGGCAAAACTGATTCTAATACCATTTTCCCCGGATTGTTTCAGCCCAAGGGAGATCTCGTTGATGCTGAGGAATACTACCACAGGGCAACACAAGTGGAGCCTGGAGATGGTGAGTTATTGATGCAGTATGCACAGTTTGTGTCGCACCTCTATCGTGTGAACCTATGGCTGATATTTCTCAACGACTCGTGCATTTTGCAGCTATGTTATCGGCGAATATGCTAGCTCTATCTGGAAATAGATAAGGGAGAGGGAGATGAAGAGAATTGGACGGCAAATAGTAATAAATCAATGTTGCATTGTTTCTTTGGTGGTTGATGCCAGTTCACCCAAGTTAGGTGTGTTGGTGTCTTAAATTGTGGCAACTGTTCTCTTCTCAGCGATTTTGATTCATGGAGGGACTACAGAGAAACTGTTGTTTCCGAGGAATATTAATTAGTACATGGAATCTCTGGTGGTTCATTGGAGTTTGTGATACTGTCTTATTGCTTCAACTCTTCGTTTGCCTTTTTCCAAGCCTCATGCATTGCTTCTTCGTAGAGCGGTAGAGGTTGTTTGGAACAATTGATCAAAGATAAAAACAAATTTTCCTTTTTCTTAGTTTCCTCATTCCTCATATGCATGGTTCCAGTTTGAGCTATATGTTTGGGGAATAGAATTCCTCCTTTGGTTTTTAAGGTTTTTGCTCTTTTAATTGTTTACAAATAGTGTCTGCTTACAAAATCTCATATTATTGGAAATTTTATGGAGTTTCGACACATTGCTTGGTTCTAAGAGATAAGTAAAGTTAGGTCCTTTGACTAATTTTTCGTTCATATCTGTTTAATCATTATTTAAATTCATAACCTCTTTATAACTTTATTTGAAGATATTGGTGATCCATTTCATTAATTCACATAACAAATCCCCTTGTGCCAAGTTGATTGAATTCTCTTCTTTCGTGATATTACATGATCTCTATTTAATTTTAAGTTCCTTCTCTCTTTTGAGCACCTATCAATCATCGATCTTAGAACATGTCTATTTCAATTTCTCACATCTAAGTTGCCATCTTACTTAACCAATGAGATTGGTTTATGAGAACACATATAGTATATGATAGACTAGGTACAAATGGATTCTAAATGATGATTTTGCTGCAAGTTTAGTCCCCGTGGTGTAGCCGTGGGTATTGATTCTAGTGCTTTATAGAATAAGAGTGCTCCCTATCGTAGGTTTACTTTTCACTATAGGTGTCAAAACATAGCCCGACTCGATTAACCCACCCGATCAACCCGATCCGCAACCCTACCGCAACCTGAATTGACTAAAAGTCAACAACCCGTAACCCGTCCGACCCGCAACCCGATCGACCCGCAACCCAACTAACTCGCAACCCGATTGACCCGCAACCCGATTAACCCGAACCCGATTGACCCGAACCTGACTAACCCGTAAACCGACCGACTCAACCCGAATTTCATCTAATCCACTTGAATAATTATAGAAATATACAATATATAGTTTTTCAAAATAAAGTTTTTCATTCTAAAGTTAAGTAAAATTATTTTTTGTTTCGTATATGAAATTTAAAAAATATGAAACTCACTTGATATTACGTATTTTAAGAAAATTACAATAATTGAAACATGAAGGTCACTTGAGATCATGACAATATTAATATAATATATAAATTAAAATTTTGGTTAATTTAACTATTCAATAAAATTATCAATTAAATATAAATAAAGTAAAGTAATGTATTTGGTAATTTGATGTTTTTAAATGAAGAGGGAAATTTTGGTGTATTCAAGTTTTTGGGAAGAGAAAGAAGAGTGAAATTTGGTTCTTTGAATTTTTTAGAGAAGAAACAAGTGGGAATTTTGGTGGTTTTGATATGTGGGAAGAGAAAGAAGTGGGAAAGTTTGATTCATTTGATTATGAAAGAGAAATAAGGAGGGAAACTTTTGAGTTTTCAACTTTTTGTAGAAGGAAAGAAGAGGGTAATTTGATTCTTTCAATTTTATGGAAGAGAAAGAGAAGGGAAAATTGAGTTTTCTAATATATGGAAGTAGAAACTAGAAAGAAGGAGGGAAATTTTAGTATTTTTGTGAAAAGAAAGAAGGAAACAAATTTGGTGTTTTCAATTTTTTGGTTTTTCATAATTTTAGCTTTTGAAATATTAATCTTTAACTTTTATATGGAGGGCATGTCTAGTTAAAATTATTCTTATATGCTTTGAAGGCTAATATATATATGTATGTAATTGTTTATGGGCTAATAAATAAATTAACCATTAGTTACAACAATTTATACTAAACTTGATAAGTAATCTTTGACGGTTCGTTGTTTAGGATATAAAGTATATGGTTAGGGTATAGGGTATAAGGTACATATGGTTTAGGGTGTATATGGTTAGGGTATAATATATTGATGGTTTCGACGGTTCCAAGTTTTTTATTAACATATGTTCACTTGAAGTCATTTGAAGTCTTTAACGGCAGGAGATCCCTTTTTAATTTATGTTTATGGTACGTGGTTAGGATACAAGGTATGTGGTGTAAAGTATAGGATATATGGTTAGGGTATAACAATTAGCAAATATCACTTTTTATCTATGTTTTGCAATCAAATTATGAGTTTCACTTTTAAATTAACTATACTAGCAAAATCATAACTCAAAGACATATGGTTAGGGTATAGGGTATATGTTATGTGGTTAGTGTATAATGTATTGATGGTTTAGGGTATACAATCAACAACATATACTAACTTAATATTGTTGATTGAGGGTAAGGCTAAGTGTATAGGATATATGATATTGAGTAAGTTATGATTGAAGTCACAATAATTTTATTAAATTTGATAGCTAATCTTTAATGGTTCAATTTTTAGGATAATTCGAATAATTTTACAAATAACTCATTTTGCAACAGTTTACCAAATTTGGGCAATGAGTTATTTCGAAATAACTCCTTTTATCACTATGCTTTTGCCAAATACCACACGCCAAATACCAAATTTGCATGGTTATACTAAACGAGATACTTTAATCCAATTACTACTGAATTTAATACTAAAATATCAAATAAACAATTAATGATGTCTTTTGGTTGCAAATATTGATATCACCATTACTATTAGCTATAATACTTTACCAATTATGATTAATTACATAACAAGTTTGCAAGTTATACAAATTGATTTAACATTTTGACTATTTTTTTTTTTCAAAAAAATAAAGTATATATATACGAGGTAGAAATAAATTGGTTAAAAAGTTGAGAAAATATTTTAAATTAGTGTAATAAAATGTGTAAGTTGGTAATGAGTAATGAGTAATGAGTTAAGTTACTTGATGCGCTGGCCCGAACAACCCAAAACCCGATCCGCCCGCAACCCGCCCGACCCAAAACCCGATGAACCCGCAACCCGATTTGCCCGCAACCCGATGAACCCACAACCCGACTAACCCGCAACCCGTTTGAACCCGAACCCGATTGAACCCAACCCGAACCCCGCCCGAACCCGCCCGATTGACACCTATACTTTTCACTATGACAAATTTCTACAGAACTTCATGATGCTTGAAGTTGAATCCTCGTTAGCGCTTCAGTTTAGATTTATACTACAAACTACATAGCATTTCCGGATCCCTGCATGACCGCAACCCTTCTCGAAAGATATACAATCTTAACAACCTCTACAATTCTCGCTACAGGTTTCACCCAATAACGGGGGCGGACAAGAAATGAATAAAGAGGAGATTTAGAAGAACAAGGAACGGGAGATGTGCAATGCAGCCTAGTCCCAACAAACAGCAAACCGGTCATGTTGATGATGGATCTAAGTATCTAACAAGTCGAATCCAATTCCGGTTGCATGTTTTGAAATCATTGGTACACAGAAGTGGCAAGAAATTCGTACCACAATCTAAAAGAAAGACCCAAAATTGGAAAATCCTATACACTAGTACTGCTGCTACAAAATACCTACCCATGGCGACTTTCACAGCCCAACATCAATCTATTTGCATTTTCCTCTCTTCTCCTGGGTTGGTTTCATTGTCAAAGTGGGCTCTTTTCGATTCTTCTAATCCGCAAGGGAACACTAGTTTCCAGTACAGCTACATGAACATTGTTCCAAACCTCCGGCTTGGTGGGAAGCCTTGCAATCTTCTCTACAATGCCCATATCTTCTGGAAGCACATAACCGAACACGGTGTAGTAGTCCTTAGGCCACTCACTGTGGTGAGCTAGACTGATAAAGAACTCCGGACCTGAACCAACCCAGGCAACGGAACCTCTTGTTACTGTGGGGCATGCCTCTGGTGAGATGTCCTTAAAGATTGTGCCTTGAGCTTCCAGTGTTCCTTGAATCAGGGCATACGGAGGCCCATAAGAAGCCTGGAGCAGAAACATCAGTATAAGGTTTACATCTTCGAGTGTTGAAATTAACCTATTCAAGCATGGGCAGCTAAAACTTTCTGGTAATTGACTACCACCCCCTCAAACTGCTAGCCAATCTATCATCTTACATGTTTTATGTGATTTCCTGCATCGTCCCACGATCTTCCACGGCTTTCTGCACGGTAAAAGTGGCACCCTGAACAATGACGCAACGCCAGCAGCTCCAGGATATAGGAAACCGAATGTGGAGCACAGTCTGGTAAAAGCTGCAGAGAGGAGTTCAATGACAAAAAAATAAAGGCAAAGTTGAACAAACAATTATATGAGATGGAAAACTATACAAGACAGAACGGGATGCTGATTCAACAAGCTATGTCACACAAATATCCAATTCGCAGCTCTTCATTCAATTAACAATAGAGTAATGCAGAACACAAGTAAATCAAAGGAAGATAAAATAACTCGAAAGGACAACCACAAATGAACCCATGACTAGATGGAAATCTGAGTAAGTTATGGGCTCGATGAGTTCATAGGAGCGGATGGAACCGAAGACCACTTACGTGTACACGAAGCATCCCATAATCTGTTTCTAATCCGACGATGCCCTATTAACCCAATACATGAAGAGAATAAACAAGTCAGCTAAGAAGGACAGAGAGCCTTGTGAAGAGAAAGAAAGGAATTGGTAATTGATAGCTACAGGGTTTCTGTCATGTTTTTACCTCTCTTTCTCCATAGACAAGTCCAGAAGTCCACATCACCAGACTGCCAGCGTCTCGCCGATCAGGCTCCAGTGGGTCCTTCTGTTTCTTGAGCCAACACTGAAACACACAAACGACACAGAATAAATCCCATTATGGGGAAATGATCAGTAACAGGAGATAATGGTATTTGGAGGGGAGAATTACTGGAATTGCAGCAGCAGCAGAGAGAGCAGAAAAACCTCGCCGAAATTAGACCCACAGGCGGGTTTTTCTCCGCAAAAGACCCAAGAATCACAAAGGCAAGGGGATTTGCACATGGCCTTGCAAGCGAGACAGCATTCCCTGGAGGAATTGAGCTTGAAATTAGCACCCCATTTTACAGCATCGCCCCAAAGCTCCAGGTGCGGAATCCCTCTGCAACAATCCTTGTCCTCCTCCTCTTCTTCGACTTGTCGACCCCCGAATGCCAAATCGGCCTCCGATTCAAATGAAGGAAAGTCATCGAGATGATCAAAGGCATGGGAGAAGCAGAGGTACACCATGCAGCAGGAGAGAGCGGCGGTGAGGAGGAGAAATAGGAGAGCGCGGCGGCCGAGTTCGGAATCCGATTGCCGGCGGCCCATCGGAGGAGGGTTACTTCGTCAAAATTTCTAAACCCGCCGCAGGCAGGCAGCCTCGTTTGTCGGAACTGTGTGCGATGGTGAGAGCGAGCAGGCGGAAATGGGAGAGTGGTGAGGGAAAAGGTTGTGTTCTGCTATTGACATTTTGTTTGCCAATCAACAATCAATGGCGGATCTGTACTGATTCCTGATTGGAGATCAGTCAGGCGTTGAATGGCTTCGCCTCTTCCTCTTGTCGCGACTCGCGACGCGTGTACTCTCTTTTCTTTTGAGCTAATGGCTATTTGGCCCCGAACTAAGTGATATAGTACAATCAGGATAAAATATTAAAACTGGTTTATAGGTAAGTTGTAGGTTTTAAGTTTTAGCGTATTGGATGTCACCGTAACTTGCACTTTTTGGTCGAGCTAATTTTAACAAAGATCGATCGAATACATTGATGTGAGCACCCTGATGACTTATCACGGTCGACCTTTAAAATGTAGTGGTCGACCATTTGTAGTTTAACTTGTCATTGTTGGTCGACCACAATAAAACATCGGATGCCCTTTTCATTGGCGTCAGAAGCAAAATGGACAACCGTATAGGTATATAGGTCGACCACTTGATGACAGTCATTAACAAAATGGTCGACCATTTACAGAAAAAGGTAGACCAAATAGAAGAGAAGTGTTGTATCCATTTATCCATCACCATTTGACGTAAAATGAAGAACAAGAGTGTTGGTTTCGCGGTCGACCTAATCTTGTACGAGGTCGACCGAATACAGAAAAATCAACCTATGACCCGCCCCTTTTTTGCTTATGATAGCAAGGACTCATAACTTCATAACTTAACAACTAAACAAACTAACAAGAAATACAATAAAACACAAATCATAATTATTCACACATAACTAAAATCTAAAACCACATATAATATCAATCCACAATCATTTTTAGCACTTAACAACAAAAACACACAATCTAAAATCGACAAGTTCCTACTCCTCTCCCATCTCTTCCTCTTTCGCATTTTCTTCATTGGTGTTGCTAGCATTATGATAGTCAGATGTGGTGGGATACATGTATCTTCCACTGAAAGATCGTAACTCATCTCGCATCTCATTCATGATCACCTGCAGTGTGCTCATCTGGGTGGTCATTTGCCCCACGTAGTCGTACATGCAGTCATTTGGGTGGACATCTGGCCCATGTAGTCGTACATGCCATCCATGCGCTCCCACATGCACTCTAAGGTGACCGGTGGAGTTGAACTCTATGCCTGCGCCATTGGCTCGTCTCCGACTCCTTCATCAGCATCACCAGCATCATCCTCATCATCATCACCACCGTGGACACCATGAGGATTGTATAATCGGACATACTCACAATTACGCAGCTCAAATCCCATTTTTTTCAGGGATGAAACTGTATAGAACTCATGTCTTGAGATTCTTAAGCCAACCTCACCACTTAAATCCACATTAAAATGCTCAAATAGCAAAGTCAGGATCATCCCATGGGGAAGATTCCTGGTTGAACTCTCTGCAGCAGCAAGCATGTGGTTAAAGATCAAGTATGGCAAGTTCACCTTCTCATTTGAAAGTAGGTTGGTGAGGAGCTCCATGTCGAAGTAGATGACTGCCTCCTGATGTTCGCCCTTTGGCAGAATGTTGTAGGAAAGCATGTGGTGAAGAACTCTGGCTTGAATTGTCAGCTGGTAAATCGTTGGCCTACTACGATCCTGAGCATCTTCCTCTTCAGCAAGACCACATACAGTCTAAATTCGTTTGGTTCTCGATAAATGAGTTTCACTCCAAGCACTGTAAGAATTGATTCTCTTCTTCTGGTTTGGAGTCTCAAGTATTTCTGCCACACATTCTTGCTGATGCGCATCTCCACCCCATTCACATAGCTTTTAAAAGCATGAATCGATCCATTTGCATTATGCTGGTAGATGATGTTGTTGTAGAAGTATTGTATCATTTTTGGGTAGTATGGTGCATTGAGAGATATCACCTTCAGCCACTCTTGTTCCACAAGTGGTGCAAGGAACCCGTAATTTTCAAAATGATCATACACATCGATCGTCAATGGCCTGCTAGGAGCAACCTTACGGTTGAGCATTCTCCTCTTTTCATACGACGATAGCTACATTAGGTCGACCTCACCTTCGACGTGGTCGACCTCTTGAAACACGTACAACAGCAACCGCAAAGGATATTCTTCACAAAAGCTCTAACCGTAAAAAAAAAACTAATTCAGAGTTTTGGTAGCGGTGAAGGTGACATATATTCGTATTTATAGATATTTAGGATGAGAATGGGTCGAATTAAGTGGTAGCTAAGTTAGGGTTACCTTTTTGGTGTTGGCATCCTTATCCAATACGGATATAGTGTGCACAAAGTCGACCTCGTACTTATGCGGTCGACCTATTATGTGCAAAATGGTCGGCCTATGAGGTATTTGGGTCGACCTTTCATTTTGTTTGCTTACCAAAGAGGTCGACCATTTGCTATAAAAGGTCAACCGCGTCATTGAACCTCACAAAACTGAAACGGCATATTAGGTCGACCTAATCCTATATGAGGTCGACCTAAAAGTGCAAGTTACGGTGACGGGCATGTCACCGTAGCAAAGTCCTAAATTTTAACAAAATGTACGAGAAAGTAGGAATTCACTAACACCAAATTTATGCATTTACATAAGCTATCTTTAAGAAGATTTATCTGTATTAAGCCGATACATGTAATCAGAAGAATTTGTCGTTTTTTTGTCTTAAAATGAAACAAAAGGCTTTTATTTGAACGAGAGATGGGACTACCAGAATCATTCATTATGAATGATTGTCAATCTTAACTTTTAGCAAAGATTGTGTTTGAGGGATTGTTAGCTTACTTTTTCTTCCTTATTATTTGACGGACCACCAAAATCATTCAATCTCCAAACAATGTATTTTTCAAATTCATACATTCATACATTGAAACAATGAATCTAATTATAATATATACATTAATTAAATACATCAATTTAGAGAGTCATAACTTCCAAACATGCCCTAAAATATTATATTATATACAAAATATCAAATCATTATATTAATGCAATGTTTAACGTCAACATCCAAATGTTTATACTTAAATCCAACATATAACATCAACGTTCATACCCGAATTCAAAAAAATTCTTGATTCCACCACCAAAATGTCATTTTCTCTAGGGACCGGAAATTGATCATTTCAGTCAATCACTTTTTCAATTTTGACTATTTTGTATTGATTTTAACTACCACTTCATACTTATGGTAAAAAAATAGTTTTGGTCTATTATCGATTGAACCCGATTGTAACGGTCGTCATACTATTGGTTTCACAATTAGGCAAACTTGATCACATTCGTCCGTGCAGATTATTGTCAATGGTTAGCACATGTCAACAACTACCCCATTCTAGGCCAAGTTTAACCTAAAATTGTGTTTCGTATAGTGGCAATCAAGGTCATATTCACTCAGGTCCAGGTACCCTAGCCTACTTCCCATGTTTTTGTTATCTAGCCAATTGGTTTAAGGGTTTGTGTTGGAGGATATGAGTGAACTAACTAGTCTAGAGATCAAATAAAGATAAAAGCAGGCCTTCGGGGAATTATCCCTCACCTTAGTCTAGGACTACTATGCAATGTCTAGATACTCAGGGTTTGTCGAATCTGGTGAGTGAGCTCTTTTCCGTGGGCTTTCATGGCTATCCACATGCCTCCGAGTACGCCTCCCCTAAAAACCCATTTAAGTCACCTCGATCTAGGCTATCGTATTTGCTACATTAAGAACATAGCTCCTTTCAATGGGTACTACCCATCGTCCACACCAAGGTTTCATCTCGGGCTCTATCTAGGAAGGCATTCCTATAACAGGGGTTAGATCGCCTCCTCCACCATAGGATTCTATTCATAAATCTAACCTTAATTTGCTTGATGACGCATACCCGTCTAACCCTAAAACTCCATACCCAACGTAGAAGCTCAAGTAGGCTAGTAGAGAAGATTAGAGCGACTTACCCAAATACAATCAACGATAGAATAGCATTCAAATCAACTAGATAAACACATTCATTCATTAAAACCCTAAAATATCCATACATATATAGTAACCTAAAACTAGGGTTTGGGGTTTAGAACCCCTAGTACCTTAGAGGACCACTCCATACAAGAGGGAAGAAGATACATAGAAAAGGTGGAAGAAGACTTGATGTTGAGGAAGATGGCTCCTCTCTTCTAGCTCCTTCTCCTCTTCTCCTTCCTTCAACTTCTCTCTCTTCTCTCTCTCTAAAACCAAAAATTCTATCTCAAAATCAGCTCTCTTTAATGGGGGGAAAGGGGTCTTCGATTTGTAGGCATCAGATGTAACACCCCGAGTTCGGGTTTAGGTTCGATCGATGTTCAACCAAATTTATTTTTTTTGGGAAGACGGTTGGAAATAATAAGAGGTCGAGGAAGGATGAACAGGATAGAAACACGAGCGTATTTCTAGAACATATTCGGTTAGGTGTGCCGTTTTGAGACAGCATGTGCTTGAACACGGCCAACGAACACGCTTGTGTCATTAGATGTGTTCAGGTAAATGCTCGTTTTAAGACCCTGGCAGGCTGGACGAGTCGTTCTAGAGGGGTCGCAGACGAAGCGTAACACGGCTTGGACACACCCGTGTTGGTAGGCAGTGGTGCTAAAGTTTCTTAAAACGTCGACAAATGATCTGATCGAGGCGAGACGTCTGAAGAGAACATGGTTTGGGAACATGGTTGTGTCTGTGCCCGTGTTCGACCTGATATATAAGATATCAGATTTTCTGCTATCCCTCCATTTGCAATTTTCATCTTCCCAATGTAACACCCCGATAATTTAGATTTAGGTTCGACCTTAATACGTGATCGGTTGAATTGACGGTTACGTACTAAGAGTTACAATCACGGATTAAGAATAATAATATTATCTACAAAAACATATAAGGCAATGTCAAGATAAAGAGTTTGCCACGTAAGACTCTGCTGCAACGCCCGTATAGTGCGGAGGGACATTAATGTAACTTCCCTAATCCTTTCTTTCCTCACCGTCCGTCTTCCAATCTCCTGTCGGAAATCGAACACCCCTCTCTCGCCGTCCCAAAACAATAACCTCACAATTCCTCAGTCTTCCTCCTGCACATTTTACTCTGTCGGAGTCTGCCCTCTACCCCCACACTTCCCGTATTCGTTGTCGTGGATTCCTCAATCTCCTAGGGCCGCCCTATCTCTATCTCCTGACTCTGCTCGCTTGCTGTTGTTCTCGCCGCACGGGAAACCCCCTCAT